CACCCAAAATGTAGATGTTCCAAGTAAGATGTAAAATATATGTAAAATATAACTCAGATTTCAATGATTTAGGCTCAGAAGAAGTATGTAAAAATATCTCATTGATAGTTTTGCACATATATATATGTATATATATACATATATATATATGTTAATGTAATCATATTTGGAACATACTGGGTAAGATAAAATATTACAATCATTAACTTTACTATCTTTTTTTAAAAAATGTGACCACTATTAGAAATCTTTAATGGCAGAGATGGCCCACATCAGTAGTTTACATATTTCTGTTGTTGAATGCTGTCTAGAACATTCCAGGGCTCAGGTGGGTCCTGGAAGAGCATCTTTCTCTGCCACTGGACAGACAGGAAACACTTAGATCTGTTTCATTTATTTCATCCTCATGACATTGTTGAAGAAAGATGCCCACACTTCCTCCTCTGATATCCTTTTCATATATTTAGTTTTACTTTCCTGCCAGCCGTAATTTTATGAAACCATTAGTACTATCAATTTTGCTCCTTTGATTCAGTCTTTTTAATGACCTAAGAGATTTAGTAACCCATGGAGGCTTTTAAGTTACTGAAGTTTCGTGGTCCAGATTGCTGTGTTGAAAGCCCTTTGTCATGTGACCTGTGAGCTACCTGTATGTACTATCACTTGGAGCTTGCCAACCCTGGTTATACCCTAAACAGTTGTTCAGACTCCCTAGAAAGAGCCAGTATCAGTGTTAAAACACCTCTTTGCTCACTGACCTCATTGATAGAAAGATTGAACCATTAAGGAGCCAAGCCTCCTGGAAGGCCAGGTTGGGGTCACTTTTCCTCTGTAGAATCTAGCTCAGTCTAGACAGTCATTCAGAAAATGTAGGACACAGAATGAATGAGCACATCACCACACGAGGGAACTCAGAGTGGGCATGTGAATTCCTCTTTGGTGACTGCCTCAAATTAATGTCCTCCAACATCCAAATATGCACCCATGACCCACGCACAATTGGTCTACATTTTGTCTTTAAATACAACAGACTTCTCTATTGATCTGTTCCCATCACTCAGGATCCACAAGTATCATCTGCATTGTATAAAGTAACAAACCTTGTTTTTTTTTTTTTTTTTTTTTTTTTTTTTTTTTTTTTATGCTACTACTTCAAACGTCTTGGGGGTGGCCTTTGTGCTGTGACTGAAGCACAGCCACTGGCCAACAGTGTCCTTCTAAGTCAACACTCACTTCCTTGTCATGGTTTGAAATGTTGTTCCTGAGCTGATCATGAGTTCCAAACATCTGAACTATGTTCCCACCTTCTAGAAGACTGGGCTGAATGAGATAACCCATGTTGTGTTTAGGTAGATATGGTCAGGAAGATGGCCGTGTGCTATCCTACAGGAATGCTGTCTAACATTTTGTTGTGTGCCCTGGGGTACTAGAACCAGAAAATGTCATACTGGGGCCCCTGTTCTTGATTATGACACCTCTTCCCTGCATCATGCCTAGCAACTTAGAGTCCATTGTTGGATTGGTAGAGTGCAGTTTCATTTACTCAATAATGAATTGCTGTATACTAACCATGTCCTACAGTCTATGAGGAATACCCTTGGGTCTCACCCCTGTCTCCCCCATAATAGCTCCTCCCTCACAGTCAGCCCACAGAAGGCAGAGTCCCTTTCTGTAGTTCTGTCCCCACTGTTGGGTTTTTTTGTTAGCCCCCAAAGCTTAGAATCATCCTTGAAGTTTCCAGCTCCCTTCTCTGGACCATGCATTAAAAAAAAATAATATAATAAGACTAGAGGCAACACTAATGCTTGGGGAGTTCTCAGTGCTATTTCTCCATGCAGAAATATGTCTTTTCCTGTCTCTAAGTCAGTTCTATTTCTTTGGTCAAACCGCCTGTGATCCCGTGGAGACTCATTATTTTAAAATACCTTTTCATGTGGAGCCTTGTCAAAGGCTTTTGGAAAAACTAAATAGCTAAGAGGCAAATGCTGATCCAGCAATCGGGAGAGGCCTGGGTTCTAGTCTAGCCTGACATGGTTTTCCACTGAACTTTGGGCAAGATTCAGATCAGTCCCCATTTCAGTTGCTTCATCAATAAAATGAGAATGATTATGCTGACAGTCAACAGCATAAAAATTTTACGACCACCAGATGAGAGAGTGTTACTGAAGAATACTTTGCAAGGTCTAAAACAAAAATATAAGGGCTCATTATTTTGAAATTTCACTTCCTCGTGTTCATTCATATGCATGTTCCTCCCCAAAAGAACTGCAGTAGATAAAGACATGATTTCTTCACCACCCCAGGGTAATGTTTGCACAACACAGACTCCTAGACAGACTGCAGATTCATCTCAGCAATAGGACTGAGTTAAGTGTTAGGGTTTGAGGTCCGGGGTAATGGTTCAATATAATGTGTGAACTCATAGAAGCATGGACAATGAAGTTAATCGGGTCTGGGTGTGACTCCATGTCGATGCTCACTGGATATGTCACCTTGGACAAGTTATTTAGCATCCCAGGCATCACCTACAAGTAGGGACAATATTAATCTGGTGACAAATTTATGAGATGTAAATACCAGACATTGCCTATTCCATGAAGAATAATTCTCATTTGTAAGCTAGTCCATTCTGCCTAAATTTTAGGACTGTTCACCAAACAGCCAATTTTACTATAAACTTGCTCATGTCTTGTGTTTAGTTCTCTCAGAAAATAGATACATGAGTTCTTTTCTTATATATAAAGTTGTGATCAGGATTGTAGGAGAGGAGAAGAGGAGGAGAGATACCTTCCTAGCTGTTCTCCTGCTCTGGCAGAATGTGGAGGGTAGGAAACAAAAAGGCCAGGCCCCATTGGCGTCTGTAGGATCCTTACTGTTTTCATAGGTTGTCTGCTACATCTGGTTTATCACCCTATCCTAAGCAACAGGGAAGTTAGAGGCAGGTGATAACAAACAGTCCTGAGGCATTGAATCTAACTTCTAATGGGGATCAGACCAAGGCATGAGATGGTCCCTATGGGTGTCTGTGTCTGTTAGGGGCCTGAGGAAGCTGACATCAGCCAGGGTGCTCAGCATCACTCTGTTCCCACTCCAGAACTCCTCCTGGCTGGGGATGAAGTCTGGTTAGGCCATTGGCCACAACACTAGCTTCACCACCAGACTCGTTTTGCAAAGATTTCTGTTTCTTTTTTGTTGAGAAAGAACCTGGCCAATGTGTCCACTGATGGTTCAGCAGTAGGTACAGATATGGAGGTGGATGCCTCTGAGGCATTTCTACCTCAGAGCTGAGCATATCTCTTCAGGCTGGTTTTCCTATTGTTGTTTTCATGAGCATAATGGGAAATCAGCAAAGAGGAGTCTCAATTTCATTTATTTGTTCATTTGAAAATAGTGGTCAAGCAATCAAATTCAAAACCATCAAATCAACTAGTATCTGAGTTCAGTGAACTTGGGAGAAATGAAGCATTCTGGTCATCCAATGTATCAGGTTTCGCCAGTTGTGGTGTCCCCTTCTATCATTTAGCTCCTCTGAATAACTCTTTTGTTCTCTTTGAGCTCATAAGAGGTTGAAAATTGCAAGGTAAAAATTAAAATGACTACATAATGATGGCATTTGGAATGCAATGTGTTCTTTAGTTTTGTTATTGGAATCACTAAGGTTCCCTCCAGAGATGCCTTGTATTAGCAGCATACCATCAAGGCCTCTGATCCACTAACTCTCACTTAGCCATATCCTCAGGAGTACTTTTCCCACCTTACACAGGCAGTGCTATCTCATGGGGCATGATGCCTGCTGGATCAGTGTGGTTACATTTTAGGTGACTTTAGAGACTTGGGCCAGAGGCCAGATGAGCATTGTATGGGGTTGGGAAGCCCAAGTCCTTTCTAGGTTTGTTAGCAGTGATGGGGTGTGTGGGGAGGAGGACGTCTGTTCTGGTGGTTTCCACATTGCCTAGACATTTCTAGGAAGAACTTTGGGATGGCCCAAGGATCATGTAGTTATCTAAGTATTCTTGAAAGACTGAGGATGGCTCATGAGCGAGGCACATTTTCCAGTGATTTCCTTCCTCAGACCATGAATGGAGCCTCACAACGAGCTATTTCAGGACTCACTATCTATTTCAAATCCTGAAGTATAAGCTACTATTTTTTATGGACCAAAGGAGATCAGAGATGTGGAATTTCTGGGATTGACTCCTCGAGTCTTTTCCAAAGCAGAACGGTGATATCTGGATGGAAGTCTCAGTGACTAAACCGACATCCATATATCAAAAATACTTGTGCTAACAAATGTCAGTCTTTCTTCTAGTTTTTCTTATGTGAGATGATTTCAAGACCCTTCATTTGGATGCTAGCCCCAAGCTCATCTCTAAAGACTTGCACTGACTCAGTGAACTGATCCTAGGGCTTAGCAAACCAGAGACAAAACCAGATTCTTTTCAAAGCTCAGGTTTGTCTGTTTCCTCCTTCCTCCATGATCCTCCAGTAGTTGGCCACAGTGGGCTTCTGTCACTTATAGCTTTGGGTTTGAATTCTAACATCTGCAGAGGCTGAGCTTCCTGCCTTTGACTTTTGGGAGTGTTTCTAGGCTAAAGTTGGGCAGTGAACAATACGAAATCTAAATCCATCATAGTGGTTTGAATGAGACGCCCCCCCGCCTTAGTCTTGGGCATTTGAAAACTTGTTCTTCATTTGGTGGTGTTATTTGGGGAAGCTAGGAGGTGTGCCTTTGAGAGGAAAATATGTCACCTACTGCCGGTTTGCCCTCTCTGCTTCATGCTTGTGGTTCAAAATGTGAGCCCTTAACTTCCTACTCCTGCCACCATGCCTGTCACTTACTGCTATGCTTCCTTCTCCGTCATCACAGATTTGTATCTCTCTGGAATCACAAGCCCAAATAAATTGATCCCCATGTAAGTTGCCTTACATGGTGTTTTATCACGGCAATAGAAAAGTAACTAAGACATTCACCTCACCTTCCTTCTTCCTTTTCTCTGCAGATCCGGGTGGATGGGCCCAAGGGGAATGCCCTCCAGTATGAGACTGTGCAGGTGGTAGACCCAGGCCCAGTTCTCCGGGACATGGCCTTTTCCAAGGACCATGAGCAACTCTACATCATGTCAGAAAGGCAGGTAAGGCTGTTGAGCTCTGCTCAACATTTGTCTTGCAACTAAATGCTAGCCTGTGGCTCCGTAGAAACCTACAGGATGCCAGCTGCAGAGAGGTGATTTGATTTATTTAGCTCAGTGTGTTTCCTTTCAGTTGTGCTGCCTGGGGACCAGGGCTGGGTCTGTTGTAACAGGAATGGAACATTTGAAATATGAAAATATCCATGAGTCTAGGACAAATCCACTGGATTCAAAATGATGGTGTGGATAGGCTCAAAACCAACATTTACTACCTTGAAGAAGAACTCTTAAATGTAGAACCCCAAGTTCCTGGTCAGATTCCCCTACACAAAGGATAACCACCTATCAAAGTCACCTTTCAGGTCCCAAGAGATCTGTGTGATAGCAAAGATTTATTGCTGTAAGAAACCTAGGTAAGTGAGCATCATAGACGAACCCGATGGATGAAGGTTTGCAAAACAGTGCAGTGAAATGAGATGACCCATCCTGTGGTCTGAGCACTCCCATGTACCTCCAACCCAGTGGAACCTCCAGAAGAGTACGTGATAACCAATCTGTGAACAGATAAGGCACAGGGATGACTGTTGGCTGAAACTAAGCAGGACTTAGCAATGTTAGATTTGGTTCTGGAGCTTAGCCAAGTGCTAAGTAAGCTATTCAGGGGTCCTCAGTGCAGACCAGAGACAATTGCATATAATTAAAGGTGTTTCGTTGTCCTTTAACTCACTGCCCAGAGTGTTAGATTCCACAGTATATCCCAGAACCCCAAGTGTGGGCCAGCACTGTGTACCTCTGCCCCATTATTTCTAGGGGGTCATATTGGAAGCTGTCTATCTAGCTCATGAATATGGATGCCTGAGCACTGAGTGACAGAGGCCATGGCCATGAGGGACAGCTCTCTCTCTTATTCATCTTCATTAGTGTGCCTGAACTCTCTAGAGGACCGTGCTGACAGAGTCTAGATTGTTCTACGTGTCCCGACTCCATGGAGTGAGGGAGATGAATTCCACATTATGCCACCCACAGAAGTTGTCCATTATGTCATGGAAGCCCACAGTAGCCCCACCCTTCTTAGGAGCTTGATGACATCTTCTCTCAGTGTGGGTCTCTGGATCTGCCAGCTTCAGCAATACAGGGATTCATTGTGGTGCTCTTTGGAGGCCACCATGGCTTGGGAATGGTGAGATATTTTGCTCTGGGATTGGATATAACTGGGATGGAATGAACAGCTGGTGGCAAATCTATCCCCCAGCTGCAGTTTTTCTTTTCTTAGTGCGATTCCCCACTCCTTACTCTTTGCCTAAGTCTATGGCCACAGGAGATGGGGAGGGGAATGACTTTCTTTGATGGAACTGAATTCTTTAAAGAAGGCCCAAAACCTGAGCACAACATTGAACATTTCAACATCCCTTGCCTGATCTGAAATCCAGAATTACTAAACCTGGGACTTAAAACACTGAAGGACTTTGAAAGACTTGAAAGCTAAACTACTAGTGCAAAACTATCAGCACTCTCTGGTAACAGTGAATGTGGGCATTCCTCTACCTTTGAAGAACCCAGATGAAGACTTACTGTTCTCATCTGGTTCTCTTTCCTCTAGTGTGCTCCCTATGCACTCTGGCTTGGTGATGAGACAAGTTGGGAACTTGATTATGGCATATTGAACAGGAAAGAAAGGCAGGAGTAAGAAGTTCAGATGTTCATCCATTTTGGAGTTGTTCTTCACAGAGACCCAAAAATCAAAACCAGAGGTCTCATTGCCTGGGTCAGCACTGGTGTCCGATGGGTTGGCAGATTCATTGTGTAGCACAGTGGTTGAGGGCACAGGCACCACAACATCTGAGTACATTAGTTGTTTAGCATTGCTGCAACCAAATACCTGGCAGGGGCAGCTTAAATGTGATTTTATAAACTCATGATGCAAGGGATACAGTCCATCATGGCAAAGAATACTAGAGAGGGTCAGTTCTAGGCAACTGGAGCTTGCAGTGGCTTGCTTGTATTGGGGTAGCAAACAAGAATCACAGAACTCAGGCTAGATATGGAGTTAGGCTGTAACCCTCAAAGACCTGCTCCCAGTCATCTTTGTCTACTAACTTGGCCCCATGTCCCAGAGAGTCCATAACTTCTCAAACCAGTGCCACCATTGGTTTGAGCCTGAGGGGACATTTCACACTCAAACTGTAACATTGAGCATCAACCCTGACTTTTATATTTGGTAAATGTAGTGACATGGAAGTTCCAGAGTCATAGAGAATCATCATCCTTTGCTGCTATCTAACAGCTTGTACTCCAAACTTAAGTGAGATGACAGATCTAATAAGCTTAGCCATGAGGTCAATCCTTGGATTTCAAGCCAGACCTGTCCTTAACTGACTGGGTGACTCTAGTCATACCATTTGAGTGCCATCTTCTGATTTGCTTTCTCTGATACTGTGATAAAACACTGACCAAAAACAACTTTGGGGAGGAGAGGATTCACCTCCATAATGGTTGGAGTGGTGAAGTCCACCATTGATGGAAACTAAGGCAGGAACTCAAGGCATGAAGTGAGACAGAAACCATGGAGATATGCTGCTCACTTTTTTGCTTTCTATGGTTTGCTCAGCTTGCTTTTTTTTAGACATTTCAGGACCACTTGACTAGGGGTGGCACTGTCCACAGTGGGCTAGAGCTTCATGAAGCAATCATTAACCAAGAAATTCCTCATTAAAATGACCATGGACCAATCTAATGGAGACAATTTCTCAGTTGGGTTTCCTCTACCCACATAACTCTATTTTGTGTCAAGTTTAGAAATAACTGGCCCATTACCTGTCTTGCCTTTATTATCTGTAAACTAAGGGTAACAGTGATGAGCCACTTCACTTGAGAGTTTGAATAATCCAAGAGTAACATGTGCTAGTCTTCAGATTACTATTTTTTCTTCATGTGAGTAAAGACTTAAATATTCCTGAAGGATGTAAGTTAATAACATGAAACACCAAGGAATTTGTCCTGGGATTCATGGTCTTTGTCTATAAAGCCTCCACTAATGTGTAGTTGAGGGTACATGGAACACATGGTCTCTACTGCATCATCCAACTCTGCTGTCTTGACATAAAGCTGCCATTGACAGCATAGAAACACACAGGTGTGACTGTGCACAGCACCGCTGCATTCATCAAAATAAGTAGCAGGCAATAGTTTTACAAAACTTGAGTCATTTCTCAAGTGGAAATGTATTGAAGGATTCCCCTATCATTGGTACCTTGATAGAGCTATTGTGTGGAAAGGCTCAGAGAAATTTAGGAAGCTAAGCCTTCACCTGTGAACTTCAAAGCTTAGAAAAACCAGGCTGTCTTTGAATTGTTGCTTCTAAGGTCCCTCAATATCCTTGATTTCCAGTTACTTCTGTGGCTGCTGTTTCTTGGTTTCTACCTGGTCCCTCCTCCCCTTTCCTTTGTCTTCTTAATGTTATATTATTCTTTAATGATGATGTTCAGTCCCATGGCTTCACATCTTATCTCGTGCCCTCCACTGAGCCCTTCTAACACAGCTACTTGCCTTTGAGGCATCTTCATGTATGTGCATTCCATACACTTTCAACTTAGCTTGCCCAAGGCCACATTCTTCATCTTCCTCCATAGCATCCCTCATCTGTAATAATCCCTGTCTTAGTTAATAACAACCAAATCATCCAAATCATCCAAATCATCCATTATAGCCATCTTTGGCTTCTTTTTTAACCCATGACTCTACATTCCAACATATCAGGAAATTTATTGATTCTATAAAATATTTCCCAAATATGACAATTTCCCATATCATTGCTACCACGCTGGATCAAGCCTGATACTTTCAATAGACCCCTGTCTGCTTCCTCTGTAACTGTCAATATTTTCCCAGACTTTTTTTTCAAGGCACATAACATAATCTCTTAAAGTCTAAGTTAGAACATGCCATCATGTTCTAAATCAGCAAATTCTTCAGTACTGATGAGAGCCCAGAAGGCCTGTGTGGTACTTTTATTCATGTGTCTGGGGATTGGTTTTTTGAGGCAGGGTATTGTGTGTCCCACCTGGGGCTTGAACTTGCTATGAAGCTAAGAATGACCTTGAATGACAGATTGTCCTGCCTCTATTTCCCAAATGGTGGGATTGTAGACATGCTCCTCTTCTAGTTTTATTCATGTTGGCTGTGATAAAGTACTCAGACAAAAGTCACTTAGGGAAAAAAGGATTTATTTGATTTACAATTTCAAGTTCTAGCCTATTATGTGGGGAGGTCATAGTGGCAGGAGCCTCAAGTTGCTAGTCATATTACATCTGCAATCGAGACCAGAGATAAATAAATACATGCTTGCTTGACTGCTTGCCCGAATCTTAATTTCTACATGCTTATGTATCTTAGTACCTTTTTGAGTAAGGAATAGTTCTGCCCAAAGTGGGCTACCCATATCAATTCAGGCAGTCAAGATAATCCCTCACAGACTTGCCCACAGGCCAACACAATATAGACAGACCCTCTCTGAAAATCTTTTCCCAGGTCATTCTCAATTTTGTTAAGTTGGCAATTAAAGCTAGCCATCACAGCCACCATGCCTGGTGAGACTTTGTATGTTCTATGTTCTAGAACTATCTAACCTCATCAACCTCTATCTCACTCTGCTCTCCATACCAACTCTGCAAAATCAGGGCAGAACAAGTGTTCCAGATAATGTTATACCCCCAGGTGACAGTCCTCTGCTATGTCAGGCATTCTCCTGCCTTGAGGTCTTTGCTCTAATGATTCTCATGCTAAAGTTCTCTCCAGATAGCTCCAAGGCAGACTCTCTTCCAAGTCTTTGCTTTCAGGAGGTTCTCCCAAGTTCCTCAGAGAAACTCCAACTTGCTGTCCACCAGATCCAGCAACTACTAATTCCCTATATTCATTTATTTCTATCCAGGATGCTTAGTCTCATCTTGTAAAGTTCCCATGGCTGTTATGTGTATTATTGACTTGCATGTCTTTCTTGTGTAGTGTGTAAGCACCACGAGAATGGAAATGTTATGTTTCATCATTTTAGTTCTTGTGTGACTGTAGTATGCATGCTCATGCATTCACCAACCTCATGAGAAAGCCTGAGGAAGTTTCCCCTTGAAGTATGGAGAGGGGATTACTGGACAAAAGCATTTGTTTTGAATGTATACATCATGAGAATAGAAATGGTGATATGTTTTATCTTTTTAGTTTCCATGTATATCATAGCCCCCTAGAACAGTATCTGACACATAAAAATTCAGTACATATGTGTTAAATAGGTGAGAGAATGAACAAACATCTCCAGAAGTCTATGGCCTTGAGCTTCTTGTTTCAATTACGTTGCTCTGGACACTAAAAACTGACCACAACACCTCAGGGTCTACATTTTCCCACCTCATGAGGTGGGCATACTCACTCCTAAACCCAGTGCAATGGCAATCTGAATGGCATGTGTGAAGGACATGTGTCAGAGGGAGCTATTGGAGAACCTGTGTGAGAAGGAACCCTTCCACTCCTCATCTGGAGCTTTTGTGATTTCAGCAAGTCAATTCCTAAAGGAACTTTTGGTTTGGCTGCTGTTTCTAATGCAAGATGAAGAAGAGGCAGCCAGGTGAGCGGTGGAGAGGAGAGAGTCTGGAGACTGTGAGCAAGCTGGCTGAGTTTTCCTACCACCAATGCTTTCCTGGTTCTCTTGGCATCCAAATTCTAGACATGGGCCCTTCACTGCATGCTGTGACCCTATCCA